AACAAAATGGAGAATCACTGTTAAAGTAACTGAAAAACTACTCACTCCCCCTCCCATCGTGTATCCAAGATGGAGCTGGAATATAGGTGGGAGAAGTCTGTAATGACGACACTACATCCTGTAGGGGGGGTTTAGACAAGACCCCTTAGACTGTTAACCAATTGTTGAATGTATACTGTATGTTTAAACCGTGACGTATTTTTGCTTTAAGAAGGAGCCCCCACTCCGGGGAATAAAGCATTCCTTGGTTTTTCACTGATCAGAAACTTTGTCTCCGGTGTGAATTACTTCTAGGGAAAGCGTGCATGCATTAATCAATCAATTTGGAAGGTGTAGATAGACAAATTATCAAAGTTTTCTTTGATCCAAATCAGGGGCGGATGCGCGCAATGTTTTTGAGATGGAAATGACAGGATTTGGCGATAGATTGAACATGAGGCTTGAATGAGAGGTCGGAGTCAAAGAGAACACCTAGGCAGCAAGCCTGCATGGTGGAGCTGATGGTAGCACTGATGACTTGGAGGGAGACAGACACAGGAGTAACAACACTTGAGGGAGGAAAGACCAGAATTTCAGTTTTGGTCAAGTTTAGTTTAAGGAAGTGGGCAGCCATCCAGTTAGAAACAGCAGAGAGGCAGTCAGAGACACTAGTCAAGAGGGACGGGGAGAGATCAGGAGAGGACAGGTAGATTTGCGTGTCAATGATATTGGAAGCCAAAGGAGCTAATGAGTTTACCAAGGGAGGCAGTATAGATGGAGAACAGCAGGGGACCAAGGACTGAACCTTGGGGGACACCAACAGAGAGGAGTTGGGGAGAAGAAGCAGAGCCAGAGAAAGAAACACTGAAAGAGCACTGGGAGAAGTAGGAGGAGCACCAGGAGAGAGCAGTATCTTGTAAACCGATATTGCGGAGGATGAGAAGAAGCTGTTGATGATCAACAGTGTCAAAATATACAAAAAAGAAAAAGAGACTGAAGAGGGATTTCCAAATGGTCCTCCCAAATATCAGTCCCTATACCCTTAAAGGAGGCTGTTCCACTAGTATAAGGCGATAAATTGCCAGTATTGGAACATAAGAAGAACTTAAAGAAAATAATAAATTTTTATTGATACCTCTTGAGGAAAAAATTAGCAAATAATAATAATAAAAGTGTATATACAATAAAGTGAAAAGTGTATATAAAAAACGTCTACTGTTCTATTAATTAGACAATATATACATCACACCAAGTAGCTCCTACTTTTAGAAACTGAGATTTTAGTATAAACTGTTCCTAGTAATTCATTTGCAACAGTGTCTCAGTGGCCAATATAAATTTTTGTGTGAATCTGAGGATGTCAAAGTTAAACCTACTGAAGCGACATGACTTCAACAAAATGCCTCTCACTAGGCAATAGGTGATTATGTGCTGCCTAGTGTAGGTATTAATGCCCTTACAGGGTATAACACACTTGATTCCTGAATATGGGTAGGAGTTACATACGTCAGGACCATACAGAGGGAAAAATAGAGTATCTGGGGGAGGTAAACGGCAGTGCTGCCTCACTAGTAATGTAGCTGGAATACTAGCTGATATAACAATATTCCAGCCCCTATTGTAATACTCAAAGAAAAGCCCCCTTATTGCAGCTCAAGAAGGATAATGCCGATAGAGAGAAACCGAGTGTCAGATGAGTCCGGCCGGACCTAAGTACAAGCACCTATACACTCTCTATATCGAACAATCTATACCACTTTATAGTCCCGATCACTGGACATTAGTATTGTAGCCCCGTCTATATACAGCGTGCTAAGTCACTCTATGTTACATACGGGCAGAAGTAGTCCTAGTGCTTAATCTAGTATAACACTACCTTTAGGAGTCTACCAGTAAAGTAACGTATATACCAGCTTCTTGTCTGCTAATAATCACCTGGCTATTTGTTCCTAAGTGGTAATCTAGTATAATAGCTAAGACTACGGATGGGTAATAGATTAAAACTAAGTCCTGATGAATGCCGAAATCCCCCTCCCAATTGCATATAGAAAAAAGAGTGAAGAGTAAACGTTCTAAGTAAAAGACCCAGTATTCTCAGTTCAGCTCAACACGTGTTTTTCGGCGCCAAGATGTGCCTTTATCTAGAGCTTACCGGAATATAGGGAAACGCCACATTTTAAACCCCCTAGTCTTTGCCCATACAATTCATGACGTCATCGTCACTCCCAGACACGTCAGTTGGTGGGTGGAGAATGGGCAAGTGAGTGGCATGAGCGTCTGCACGGCATGAGGGGATGTAACTCTATGTTACATATGGGCAGAAGTAGTCCTAGTGCTTAATCTAGTATAACACCACCTTTAGGAGTCTACCAGTAAAGTAACGTATATACCAGCTTCTTGTCTGCTAATAATCACCTGGCTATTTGTTCCTAAGTGGTAATCTAGTATGATAGCTAGGACTACGGATGGGTAATAGATTAAAACTAAGTCCTGATGAATGCCGAAATCCCCATTCATCAGGACTTAGTTTTAATCTATTACCCATCCATCATTTGCCGAATAGAAGACTACAAGTTAAATGATCCTAAACAGGGAATATTAAGTAGTGTTTCTACTTCTTTCAAACATATTACCAAAATATACCTGGAATTAAAATATATATATGTTATGGATGTATAATATAATAATCAGATGATTTAATTAACGTATATATGATTTACATAAAATAAATGTAAAAATATATATATATATATGTAATATCATAAGCGTATCTTGATATTATATGTATATATATATATATATATATATATCAAAATACACTTAGAATTATATTTTATATATAGAATATATATATAAATTAAAATAATAATATATATGTTAAGGCAGAGCCTGAACTTGTGGGAGGGGCTTACCCAGCCTAAGTACACCCAGAATTACCTCTACTCAGGGCCAACACCGATCCAGACTCCTTTGTGACCACTTCTGGTTCCAGTCTGCCTTAGCGTTGCTCCCACTGGCAAAGAAGTACCACACAGACATAATCTCGGGAGACTACTGCCCTTCACCCGCAGCCAAGGACAACTTTCAGGCTCATGGAGGGCACACTTCCCCGCAGGTAATCCGAACAGCCAACCGCAATCAAACTGCCACATTCCACTCCAGCCGCCGCTTTACGGTGTCGCATTCGTGCCGCGAGTTCCAACAGTAACGTGAGTACCCCCAGATCAGCGCTGCTCTTCCGGGCCACCTTTAAAGTCACGGCATCTGGCTCAGCTCCCACTGAGCCCCCGGTCTTTTTACTCTCTACCTCTCCTAGTCACAGCCAGTACTTTCGTCCCACCGATCTCTGACCCTCCTGCAGCTTGCGGATCTCTGTATCTTGCTTCCAGGGTCCAGTCGTTCGACTCGCAAATCATGAGTTTGGCCATGCTGGGCATTACACACATAATTCGGGCACCAAACAACAATCACACTTGGGCTGACCTAACTCATTAATCTACCGAATACATTCTAGTCAGTCACAGTCACTTACCTTACATTCCGTCCATGATTTGACAACCTTTCAGCCAATTAGCCACACGTTACGTATTCACATTCCTTGTTCTTTGCATACTGTCCCCTTGCAGCCAGCCAGGCATGACAGTCCTGTCAATTATATAAACGTTGTAAATTGCATGATTATGTCCCTTAGTTTAAGAAAAAAATTGTTTGCTATTTACTTAGCCGAGTTCTAGCAACCTTACGGTGACGTTTATCTATACAGCAAGTTTCCATAATTACTTTTGTTACCTCATTAGCATATTCTGTGGTTTCATATCTGTTTATGTCAATCTACATCCCAATTAGGCGTGTTCCTTTCCTAGACAAAGTGCTATTTCTCCTCCTATACATACGTGTTGCTTGTTATTATACGACTTTACAATACTAAAGCTTTCCAAACATGCGTAGTGTGAAGAAACTACCCTGTTTGATTCAGTATTTTGGATTTTCCCCTTTCCTTAATTTAAACTACCGAACACGGAACACCCCCCCCCCCCGGCTCATTAACTTCAAAGGAAACAGTGAATTAAGTGCTCTCTCTGTGTGGCCGCTGTTCAAATAACTGAACGCCACATGCTGGAGAAAACGGCGGCCATCTTGGCAGTGGGACTTGGTCGTCGAATGTCTGGAACTAAAATCGGACACTCGACTTCCCGAACGCCGGTCAAACTTCGCGAACACCTGCTTCTGTTCCCCGACCAGCCAGGAGGGCGCTGTTCGGTATGTTTGTTCCTAGGAACTAGGGGAACAAACACTACCTATGAGCCAGGGGAACAGTTTGTGGATTTGTTCGGTTTTTAGACTTCCTGAAAGAGACCGACAGCACAGCCTGATTTCATGGAACTCTTTCTGGGCAGGAGCCTCGTGTGCGGTCGGGCAAATTATTACTTCCAAGAACTCCCAAGCCCCAGAACCGATCTGAGTGGCTATCAGGGGATATGACTTTTGTGGGGTTCCCATGGGGTTTAAAGAACTTTTGGGGTTTTGTGAAAATATGTGTTTTTTGTGTTTGGAGATAATTGAGTTGAATACAATACTTGACTCAATAATCTCCTAAGTAAAGGGGAAGGATTATTGTATTCTATGTGGGAGGTTCTGGACTTGAGAGCCAATGTAACTACAGTATGTACTTTGTCCCTGTGCTCTCTCAGGTCCAGTGGGGAATGCCCCTGGAATCTGTTATTGTAAACCCTGTTCCTGGGGACTTGCATAAAAGGCCGGCCAGTTGGCCCGAATAAAACCATTCCTGTTGTACCCTTCCTTTAGTTCAGGTTGATGTTTGGGTATATGACTGACTGCTGGGGAATACTTCTTGTATGCTGCATTCTAGCTGGAGAATATTTGTCCTTGTACCCGAACTGCAAGCTATAATCACTCAGCTCTCAGCAGTTCGGGAGGAACCGAATATGAATGGGTATCTGATATAACACAGTATGGCCGTTATGTTCACACTTACATTCTGTCTCCATTTGCATTCCAGGGTTTTTAAACCTAGGCTTTGTTAAATTCTGGTTGCACGCGGGAATGTATTGTGTACAGTTTTAAATTACTACGTGCAACCTCTTGTGCGCTTGGTTCATACATAGGTGCTTATTGAGGTACTCAACGGGTTACTCCGCGGCCTCCCGACTCTCATATTTCATCTGATTTTGATCTTTCCGTATTAATGCTGACATTATCCATACGACCCTCAGTTGGTATCCTAATTAGACCTACTTCAGCCCCTCCTTTGGGCATTAAGTTCAATTACCATTCTGCTTACATGGGTAGGAATAAGTGCTAGTGCCACACATCTGAAAAGCCGCCACTGAATCCACATCTTATCATTAATACATCCACGAAGTCACATACTACCTATATGTGGCCACCTTGCCATTCAAGTATTACTATGGGCTTAGATTATTTCACGTACCAAAACGTTAAATTATTTCACGTACCAAAACGTTGCAAGTTGTTCAATTACTGAAGTTGCCCGGTCACAATCTGTAGACAGCCCACCATTATATTATACATTTCTATTCTTGTCAATCCCCCCCCCCCCTCTACTCCCAAGGGACCAGCTCATATACCGGAAATCTTATTTTCTGTTCCATTTCTGTTCTATGTCCAAAACAGTTCCAGAGAATCAGGGCTTGTAGTCGATCTAGTTTGGTAGTTTAAAAATGAACAAACTACCGAACATAGTCAATAGTCTTACCCTGGAGCTGTTCCCCTTGTTCGTGGGAACGTTTCTACCGAACAGTGTCTTTCTAAATGTTATCGAACCAAACGCAGGCAATCATGGAAGTCCAGCGGTGTTCAGGAGTTTCAGTATCCAAAAATAGTTCCATGAACTTGACAACCAAACTCTGCTGCCTGCATTCATGCAAACAATATTGCCGCCACCCCTTGGCCGTCCACAGGAACCGCGGCCACCCAGACGAACACCCAGAACACTGTGGTGGAAATTACCACAACCATACAGTCCAAATGCACGAATGGAGACTTTTACATCACATTTTACAGGGTCCATAGTCTGTGGGCAGGAGGCCGGCAAGCAGGTTCCTTCAGGAACTCGTGGCAAACTCACTTGACTAGGGGAGTTTGTCATACTCACCATTGTTAAGTCTGTATGGCAAATCAATAACCACTCAAAAATCTATGTTATACGTTAGGATGTTGATTGTTAGAGTAGGATTAAATCCAGCATAATTTACGGGTCATTGTTTTAGGTTTGGAGCAGCCACTTCAGCATGAAAACATAGCATACCAACTCATGTCATTAAAAATATGGGCAGATGGAAATCATCAGCATATAGTAGGTATATCCGTAACCCTGAGAAAGAAGTTAGCACTGTTTTTCATAACATAGCACTGTAAGGATAATTGTATTTTGTGTGTAATAAACTTGCATTCGTAAACTTTTTGCCCTCTTTATTACAGGCCTGACCACTTGTCGGTTTCGGCACACCACAACAGACTTGTTCATATAATGGTTTCCTATTACACTACATGTTACATTCTATACAGCTATAATGTTCCCGGACTGTTTGTATCTGTATGAATGTCATTCTGTGTATTTGAATGTTTATCCTTAAGTGTTTGTGCATCTGTCTGTATGTTTGTTAGTTAGTGTTATCTGTGTTAATGTTTGTATCTATAGGAGTGTCATTCTGTGTATCTCAAAGTGTGTCATTCTGTGTGTCTGTATATCTGAATGTGTGTCTGTGTGTATATATATGTCTGTGTATCTGTGTTAGTTTGTGTGTCAGTGTGTGTGTATGTGTGTCTGTACCAGCATGTGTGTCTGTGTATCAGCATGTGTGTCTGTGTATGTATCTGTATGTGTTATGTGGTGTGTATCTGCATGTATGTCAGTGTGTGTTTGTTTGTATATCTGCATGGGTGTCAGTGTATGCACCTGTGTGTCTGTGTAACTGTCACCCCACCACACACTGTCCTCCCTTCACCCAGCCACACTCATAATAACTCCCCCAACCCTGCCACTCACATCATGCCATATTCACCTCCCATCGCCCATCAATATTCATCCCATTACACTCACCTTCTCTAGTACGTTCACACTCACCCCACAAATCCTGTCTTGCTCTTTCTCCATCACTCTGTCACATTCACCCCTTTTCATCCTGCCACACTCATCCTATCTCATTAACCACTCCAAACATGCCACACTAACCCTGTGGGGCGTGAATGAGACACATGGAGCGGCTAAAAGGCGTGCCTGTGACACATAGAGGGGCTGGGAGGGGCTTGAGACATATGGGGGGACCCCAGGGCAATTTTCACATTGGGGCCCCGTGGTTTCTAGCTATGCCTCTGCTCGTGAGTCTTTGTTAAACACAAACATGAGTGTTTTCGAATACTGATTTCATCAGTGAAAGCACAGCTTTTGTGTGGAAAATGCAGCAACCAAAAATTTAAAACTAACTTTAGCCAGGATTTGTGACTAAGTGACTACTAAAAAAAGACCTGACTTACCCAATTCTGAATACCTTGGGTTGTTTACGTTTGTGAATGATATGCCATGATGGGGGTAGTTCTCATTCTTGGGCTGCCATATAGTCTCAAAGGCAGCATAGGCCACCTAACCAATCTGCCAAACTGAAATGGACCCTGTAACTTTCCAAAACCCCATAAAACCTGTACTGTTTTACTTGTGAGACAACGCTGTACACAAATATGAGTGTTTTAGAGAAGTAAAACTTATAATGACATTGATATCACCAGTGAAATGGCATTTTGTATTTTGTGAAAAATGGAAAAAACAATATTGTGGCGGAACCAACCTCGCCACTATGCACTGGAGAAGCCTGGTGGCCAGCCTCCTGCCATGTGACTATGGCCCCTGGGATGTATTGCCCTTTAAAGACATGATTTGGGCATAATGGATTTGTGTTGTGCTGCTGCTGGCCCTTTTAAGAACCATCTGGGGACATACTGTGGAGTTACTGGGTGGCCACCATTTCCTGTATCAGAAGCACATGGTGAGAACAATGGATGGTGACCATTTTAACTCACAGACACTGTGTGGACTTTTCAACACGGTGCCATCTCGCCAGTATTTGTTGCACAGAGACATCGTGCGGTGGTTTTGGACTATACAGCAGGGGACACATTATACAGTGATTGTTTTTTTATTTAGCCTGTATATGTTCTGCAGAATCTGCATTAAACTGTATTTTCCAAAGTACTGAACGGATCTGGGTGAATTTTGGATATGTGATGTGTTTTAT